TCTCCAGTGTCGGCCTGAGGAGTTTCGTGTCGTGGACATTAGCTCCGGCCACCACCACGCTCAGTGGTCCGCCGGCCCCGTCGACCAGGATGCTTTTCTTGCTTCCTGTCTTCCCTCGGTCCGTGGGATTGCGTCCAATAGCGCCCCCCCAAAACGCGCCTTTCCCATGGAGCAATCGGCGGACTGCCATTCCCAGTTTACGCCGTCCAACCCCCGGCATTCCTCGATCAGGGCGGCCCAGATACCCTCAATCATGCCACGTTCGACCCAACGCTGGAAAGTCCGGTGGATGGTGCTGTCATCCCCCAACTCCCGGGGCAAGCGGTTCCATTGGCAGGAACTGCGCATGCGGAATATGACGCCTTCCAGCATCTTTCGCTGGTTCACCCGTTTGTGCCCCTTCCCCTTGGGTGGGTCCAACTCCAAAATCACCGGTTCAATTCGCTGCCACAGATCATCCAGTATTTCCCAGATGGTTGGCAGGGGACACGCTCTTTCCCATCATCTACCACCACACAGGTTTCCCCTATCTTACCCCGACCGCCTATGGGTTCCCCTTCTCAGACCAATACCATTTTGAGATAGTTACTTAGTGCAGGGTGAAACCGGCGCCGTCTACAACAAAAATTAACCGGCAACGCAAACTTGAGGCTTCGCACCGTCTGCTGCTTCTGTGATTGGAGTATGTTGTCCCCGAGCCACCTTTGTTCCCGCGCCAAGCCCCGCTGCCAACGAACTCCCGCGCCGATGCTGGTCTTCACGGAAGTTTCGCGGACTCAGCAGGGAGTGCCTCCCGGCAAGGCCGGTCTCACTCGCAGTTCTCGCAGTGAATCGTCGTCAAACAGGTTGCCGCCCGACTGCAGGATTCCGATCCACGACTCACGACTCGGACGGTAATAGGGACGGCAGGTCTCCTTCACTGAAGAGTCCACTCAGGCGAGAAAAGCCCGGAAGTCTTGGATGGCCTCTTCGGTCCTGCCCGCCACGGCATAAACCAGCCCGCGGCTGTCCAGGGCCGGGCCGTTTGGGTTGTCCTCCAGCGCCCGGTTGCAGTAGTGCAGTGCGTCATCGGGTCGGCGCTGCATTCCCAGCTGCCAGCATAGCGTGTTGTTGGACGCTGCGTTGTCCGGCTCCCGCTCTTGTGCCGAGCGCAGGTTTGCGATTGACCGTTCCCAGTCCTCCAGTTCCGAGTAGACCAGCCCCCGGTTGTAATACCCCATGGCAGCCTCCGGAGGGAGCTCGATCGCCTTGGTGAAGTCCGCTAATGCCCGCTCTGTATCCCCGTCCTCCCCCGCTGCAGGTACGCGTTGCCCCGGTTCACCCAGGCTGTCGCCAGGTCGGGATCAATGTCCATGGCACGCTCCAGGTCCTCGAAGGCTCGGTCAAGGTCCCCGTCGTCGCCTCGTTCCAAATACACCGCCGCCCGGTTCACGTATGTTCCCCCGCTCTCCGACCCTGCATCAATCGCCCTCTCCAGGTCGCGAAGTGCCCGGTCCAGGTCCCCGGAATGGCCCCTTTCCATGTATGCCACGGCCCGGTTGAAGTAGGGCCCGGCTACTTGGGGTTCCAGTTGCGCCGCGCGACTCAGGTCTGCGATGGCAAGGTCGGTATCGCCGGGTCTCCCACGCTCCAGGTAGGCCAGGCCTCGGTTGATGTAAGTGTCCGCCGACCGGGGTTGCACCGTAAGCACCTGTGTGAACCGCCAGATCGCTTCGTCAAGGTCAGCGTATTTGCCACCTAGAAAGGCGTGGCCCAGCCGGTAGCGCAGGTTGGCCAGCGCGGCGGGGTCCGACGGCGGCTGCTCAAGCGCACGGATCAGCACAGTCTTGGCCAAGTCGAACTCATCCTGTTCCAAATACAGCTGGCTCAGGGTCAGCAGAGCTACCGAGCGCACTTCTGACGTGAGGTATATATTTATAGCCGTGGGTAGCTCCGATGGCGACGAGGCAATGTTCACCACTTGTGGGCCGAAGGACTCGCTCTCGGTGCGGGTGGGATGTGAGGTTGGCCAGCACCCGTCCGCTGTCGAACTCTCCCCAGATCACGATGGCGGCATCGGAGCGCTCCCCCGCCGACGAAGCTTCCTGCTCCTCGGAGAGTGCTTCGGGCCACTCCACTGTTCTGACATCGGTCAGCCCGGCGGACGCGATTTCCCGGTCTATACTGGCCCGGAGCCGCCCACGAATGTTGAACCCCTGCTGTCCTGCTGTGTAGTTGGCAAAGGGCGCGATCACGATCAGCGATTCCCCGGATGTCGCCACGGGGTGGTCCGGCCCTCCTGCGATCCGTAGCAATACAATCGCGACGGCGAAAGCCGCTGCCGCTGCCACCACTCCGACGGAGACCGCGATTCTCACGCCCCGGCGACTTCGCGGGTAGGTCGGTGCCGTTGACGCTGGGACGTATTCTATGGCAGCAGATGCTGGCTGCAAATCTGGTTGAACCGCAAGGACGGCTGCGACTTCCTCTTGGGGAATGGGTTGCAGAACCAGGGCTTCCGGCTCGAATTCCGCTGAGACCAGCAGTTCGTTCCTTTCCTCAGGTGTCAACCGCAAGTGCTCGGCCAGCTAAGAACGTCCTCGCGGTATCGCGGCCGCGAGGTAACCCCTTCCTTCCAGCGAATCAGCGTGAGACGGCTGACTCCAACGCGTCTGGCGAGTCGGAATCACCTATTCCGGTCCGGTCGATGTGGGCAGTCAAAAGCTCGCCGAAAGTTGGCAAGTGATACAACTCCGCTACACAATAGAGGCCGAATGTTACACATCTGTCGTCCAATGTACAGCCTGTGAAAAGCAAAAATATCCATTGCCAAACCAAATCTATGGAGGCGATGAGATGTACCAATTCCTGTTAAAGGCAGTCCTCCCCCTGGCAGTGGTGCTGATGCTGGCCGTGGTGGCCTGCGGCAGCTCCGAGTACTACGAGGCCGCCGCAACCTCGGCACCGGCCGGTCCCCCGCAGCAGCAAGCCGTCGTGGTGGCTACCGAGGCCGGCCAGCCCGAGGGGTTCAACACCATCGGCGGCTCTGCCACTGTCAACGATGCTGCCTACGACCTGACCTTCTTTCAGCACTATGGCGTAAATCCTTTTATAGACACGGAGGACGACCATTTCTACACCTTTGCCATTGACGTAGACACCGCGTCCTACACCGTGGCGCGTAAGTTCCTTGGCGATGGCAACCTGCCCGACCAGAACTCAGTGCGGGTGTAGGAGTTCGTTAACTTCTTCGACCAAGGCTACGAAGTCCCCACCGAGGATGCCTTCGCCATTCACGTCGAGGGATCTCCCTCCCCCTTCGGCGGCAGCAACCACTGGCTGATGCGTGTCGGCCTCCAGGGCAAGGAGGTCCTGGAGGAACAGCGCCAGGACGCTACCTTGGTCTTCACCATCGACATTTCCGGCTCAATGGCCCGCGAGGACCGGCTGGGCCTGGTCAAGCAGTCCCTACGTCTGCTGGTAGACGAGCTTCGCTCCGACGACAAGGTGGCCATCGTGACCTACGGAAATCGAGGTTCCGTCCTCCTGGAAGCCACCGAGGGACGCAATAAGGGCGAGATACTGCAGGCCATCGACTCCCTGCACCCTGGCGGCTCCACCTACGTCGAGGATGGCCTCAAAGTCGCTTATAAGCTGGCAGTTGACGAGATTGAGCCCGGCCGGGTCACCCGGGTAATGGTCTTGTCCGATGGAGTCGGCAATGTCGGTAACACCGGCCCTGATTCGATACTCAACCAGATCCAGGAATACGTCGATCAGGGCGTTTCCCTCACTACCATTGGATTCGGGATGGGCAACTACAACGACATCTGATGGAGCAGCTGGCCAACGACGGCGACGGCGCATACTACTATGTCGACACGCTCTCCGAGGCACAGAGCATATTCGTCGACGACCTCACCGGCACCCTCCAGGTCATTGCCAAGGATGCCAAGGTGCAGGTGGACTTCAACCCCGAGACCGTCGGCCGCTACCGTCTGTTGGGCTACGAGAACCGGGACGTGGCTGACGAGGACTTCCGCGACGACGCCGTCGACGCCGGTGAGATCGGTGCCGGCCACAGCGTTACGGCTCTCTATGAGCTGAAGCTCCACGAGGGTGCTGAGGGCACCTTGGGAACCGTGTACATGCGGTACGAAGACGTCGGCCTAAACGAGGTGGTCGAGATCAGCGAGGAGCTCCAGCGCACCGACCTGGCCGTCTCCTTCGAGGAAGCCTCCTCACGCTTCCAGCTATCGGCAGTCGTCGCCAAATTCGCTGAGGTCCTACGAGGAGGCTATTGGGCTCGGGAGGGCAGCCTGCAGGCTGTGGCGGACGAGGCCCGCCGCGTACAGCAGCTTCTCCCCGAATCCACTGACGTCGTCGAGTTCGCCGGTCTCGCCGCCCAAGCAGCCAGCCTGGATGTCCAAGCCAATAGCAGCTGACTACGAGGGTAGTCTAAAAGGTGAATCGAACAGCCCTCTCCCGAAAGGGAGAGGGTTTCCTTTTCCACGGGACATGACTGAGACTCGATTCTCACTCGGTCAAGCGCGCGTCTCAGGAGGGTGTCACCCGCTTGTCGCCAAGTAACAGGGGTCTAAGTGAGTAGACGTCCACCCTGTACGCTAAACAAAAAAAGGCCTCCCCAATGTATGGGAAGGCGGGCAGACCGAAATTCAGAGAGGTCGCCAGAATGGTCTTGTGGTGGGAGGTTGACGTTATGCAAGGGCCAGACTTTTTGCGGGCTTACGCTTGAACGGCCGGAAAAGATCAGGGGAGGCGCGGCGAACTCACGGGCCTTATTTTCGAGGGATGCGACAGTGAGTCGCCAGAGTCCGTTTCGCTAGAAGAATCGCCGCGCCGGATAATATGTCGATGTAGTGCTGTTGGTTGGGCTTTATTGAATTGATGGTTATGTGACTTGCACCGGCAGGCAAGAGCGATACAGCCAATGCGTTATAAGACAGTCTCGCCCACCGAGTGAATCCTCAATCCAATGATAATTCAAGGCTACTGGGCTGCTAGTCGGTTTCGTATGGTTGTAGCTGGATCTCTTTCAGGGCTGGGATTACTTCCTTGCCCAGGAGCTCGATGGAACGCATGCAGTCCTGGTGGGGCATTGGGCCCTCGTTCCCGTATATCAGCAGGTAGCCGGGGTTCAGTTTCTCCACCACCCAGGTAAGCTGTTCGATCACTGAATCCGGTGTGCCGACGATGATGATCTTGGCGTCCTTCTGCAAATCGTAGGACTGGGGATCACCCGCGTTGCCGGCGAAGACCCCGGTGGGGCGGCTGCGCTTGATCTGCAGGGCCTGGCGGGACTGGTATCCGGGCGGGTCCACATGCTCGCGTGGACCGCGCTGGCGGTGTCCCTCGGTCCACACGAAATTCCGGCCAATCTCATCGGCCTTCTCTTCAGTGTCGGCGACGAAAACCTTGAGCAGGTAGCCGAAATGTTCCGGGCCAGGCTGGTATCCGTTTTCTAGGGCGGTGTCGATATAGATTTGCTTGAGCCATTCGGTGGTTTCCATGACTGCGCCCAGGTTCATGTATGGATGGCCGTTTTTCGCGGCCCATACCACGCTTTCCGGGCTTCCGGTGCCGGGGAACCAGATGTCGGGCCGGGGATTCTGCATTGGCAACACCCAGGGATTAACCGCCCGGTACTGGTAGTACTTTCCCTCGTATCGGAAGGGGCCCGGCTGGGTCCAGCACTTCACTATCAGGTCGTGGGCTTCTTCGAACCGCTCTCGGTTCTGCGTGGGGTCGATGCCGGCCTGAAGGGTCTCCACCGCGCCGCCGCGAACGAAGCCGGAGATGATCCTGCCGCCGGAATAGCAGTCAAGCATGGCGATCTCTTCGGCCATCCGAATGGGGTCGTTGACGGCTATGACATTACCCAGGATGGCGATCTTGGCCTGCTTGGTGACTTTGGCGATGACGGCGGCGTCCAAGTTCACGGCAGGCTTTCCGCACCAGTACGCGGCGTGGTGCTCGTTGGTCATTATCCCGTCGAATCCCAACTCGTCGGCCAGCGCATACTGGTCGTGGTATTCGTTGTAGAGAATGTGGGCCTTGTCCGGATCGAAAAACGTATTGGGGAACCCTAAGCGTCCCGAGTCGAACTGCTCCAATTGGGCGTCGCTGACGTAGCCCTGGGGCTGCTCGGAAAACCAGTAAACTTCCACTTGATCCTTGGGGCGGGCTAGTTGGTCAACCATGTCGTCCTCCTGGGGAGATAAAATGGCTGGTGGGCAGACAGACATATCATAACCGAACGAATATCATCTTCAAGCCGATGAGCCAGATGAGCGGCTGTCTGTCCAAAATGCCCGGTATCGACTACTGCCCGGTATCGACTACTGAGAGGAAGTCGCCTTGCGGCCCTCCCTGGCGTCACTTACTGGGCCAGCGGAAATGCCCGCAGCGGACGTCCAGCCGAACAACTGACAATCGTTCCTTGAGGGCACCCCGCGTTGTGCGCTGCCCAGGGTAGGTGACCCTGGGCTTTAAGTAGCCGGAATGCCAGAGGCGCATCCCTCGAGAATCGGGGGATGCGCCTCGATCATTTCATCGGCGTCGTTGATAGACGCCTTCGGAAAGGGAACTAGCTACCGAGAACGGCGTCGATCTTCTTCTTCAGGGCGCCCTTGGGCACTGCGCCAATAATCTGGTCAACGGGCTGGCCGCCCTTGAAGAAAATGAGGGCCGGTATGCTGCGCACGCCGTATTGCATCGCCACGCTGGGGCTGCTGTCGACGTCCAGCTTGCCTACGGTCAGCTTGCCGTCATACTCGACCGCCATATCGTGAACCGACGGAGCGATCATCTTGCAGGGGCCGCACCATTCAGCCCAGAAGTCGACCATGACGACGACATCGGACTTGAGAACTTCGGAGTCCCAATTCTGTTCGGTCACCTCAATGGGTTCAGCCATTTCCACCCTCCGGAAAGGTCTTCCGCTGCCGTAATCTCGCGCGGCCTATCCGATGGCGACCGGAACTCGCGCGCAGCGAAACCAATAGGTCTCTTTCAGTTTAATTGGGGCGGTAAGGCAGGTCAACCAGCGACTGTCATCGGGCAGCGCTGCGATGCAGGTGGTCGAATTGTCCCGAGAAGGTGCGATAGCATCCGGCGTTGCCCTGAGGCGCCGACTTGACCATCCGTGTGCCCAGTCTCTGGACCAGCCCAAGAACAGGACCTGCGCCGACAAGGCGCCAGAGGGATGTCTCGATGCGGGGTGGCACCCCGCAGGGTAAACCCAGAAAAGTGTGCAATTGTGAGCAGTTTCCCAAAAATCCGTGTCTCAATAAAGGACCTTGCACATCCGCGCCGGGCGCCCTCGGGGAGATGCCGCGATAGCGGATACCGAGATGACAATTTTCTATTATTCCGCTCAATTCCGCTCATTCCCGATCATTTGTATCTGCATTTGCGGACTGCGCCGGATGTAGAGGTTGCAAGGCCGAGTCAAGGAATAATAAGAACATACGTTGGATTATACGGGAACGGAGCCTGATTGGGAAGGAGTGAGTGTCAGAAGACAGTGTTCCGAATCGAGTGGTCGAGTTACATTTCCAAACAACAAGCAGGTGGACCTGGATTCCCGCTTTCCCAGGAATTGCGGCGGAACCGGCGTCGAACCACCTGATTTGAAATGTTGAGACGATGCTGGCCGTCGTTGGAATACTGGCAGTGATGTCTGTATAGTGGTAAATCGTTATGGATTCAGCACATCAGCCTTCCCAGCCTCAAGCGCTGGCCGATACCCCGGCTCGTCCACAGTTGAGTCCCGGTGACCTGATTGAGCTCCACCTTGACTCGTGGGGACGCCTCGGGGAAGCCATGGCCCGTCATGAAGGCGAGCCGGTCTTCGTCCTTGGAGGCATTCCGGGCGAAAGGGTAACGGCTGAGGTGGTGCGGTCCATCGGAAATACGCGTCGGCCAAAGTGGTCGAGGTGCTGGACCGCTCCTCTGACCGCGTGGAGCCGCCCTGTCAATATTTCGGCGAATGCACAGGCTGCCAATGGCAGCACCTGGACTACGGCGCCCAACTGTCGGCCAAGCGAGCCAAGGTAGTCGATGCCCTCATGCGCGTTGGCGGCCTCTTCGCTGACGCAGAGGATGCCCCGGTCGCGCAAACCCTGCCGTCGCCCAACCGGTACGGCTACCGGAACCACGCCCGCCTCACGGTCAACAGGCAGGGATCCCTGGGTTTCGTCAACCGGGAGACCCGCCAGTTCGTGCGGATCGAACACTGCATGCTCATGCGGCCCAGCGTCAACAAGGTCTTGGAGGAACTGCAGGACCGCTGCCGGGAGACCACTCAGCTTTCCATCCGGGCCGGCTCGGATGAAGATGAATCGCCTGAGGGGTACCTGGTCCAACCGCAGCTTTTCAATTCTGAAGTTTCCATAACGACCGGACAGAAACGATACGTCGAGACCGTCGGGACAGGCCGGTTTTTTGTGTCATCTCCTTCCTTCTTTCAAGTGAACGTGGAGCAGGCGGCGCAGGCGGCCGAGGTGGTACGAGAGGGGCTGGAGCTGGGACCTGCGGACGTCCTGCTGGATGCATTCACCGGTGTTGGCACCTTCGCAGTACTTCTTGCCCCGTACGTGAGCAGGGTGCTTGCCGTCGAGGAGTCGTCGGCCGCTGTGGCCGATGCCCGGAAGAATGCGGCAGGTACTCCAAACGTTGAGTTTGTGCTGGGGCGCACAGAGAACGCGCTGGGCGAGCTGACCGTTCAACCCGACGCAGTGGTGCTGGACCCGCCCCGGTCCGGGTGTCAGCCGCAGGCGTTGAAAAGTCTGGTCGAGCTTGCCACCCTCGCGAGTTGCCTACGTTTCCTGCGACGCCGAAACACTGGCCCGCGACCTCAAGATTCTCTGCGCCGGCGGATACGTTCTCGACCGGGTTATTCCCATCGACATGTTCCCGCAGACCCATCACGTCGAGTGCGTGGCGCTGCTGCGCTGGAACGGTCCCGCCGCGACAGACTCGCTGGTTCTGGCCTCGGCATCTCCCCGCAGACGAGAGCTGCTGGACGCGTTGGGGCTGAATTTCTCGGTGCTGCCCGCCGATGTGCCGGAGGACCCCATTCCCGGCGAAACGCCGCAACAGATGGTGGAACGGCTGTCCCTCGACAAGGCGCTGAAAGTGGCGTCAAAGATGGAATCCGGATTCGTTGTCGGCGGCGACAGCACTGTGGTGCACCTGGGAGAGTCCCTGGGTAAGCCCGCCGACGACGACGAGGCGCGAGCAATGCTGCGCCGGCTGCGGGGCACGACGCATCACGTGAGCACCGGCCTGACAGTTGTAAATACCGCCACTGGAGACTCCCGAACGGCAAGCATGACCTCGGAGATAAGCCTGAGAAACTTTTCCGACGCAGAAATCGAGGCCAGCATCGCGACCGGAACCCCTCGCGACAAGGCGGGGGCCTACGCTGTCCAGGACACCGAACTGCGGCCTGCCTCGGGATGGGAGGGCTGCTACCACAACATCATTGGCCTGCCCACCTGCCTGCTGTTGCAGTTGCTGGGCGAGCTGGGATACCGGTGGCCCGACGACTGGGAACTGCCCGAAGCCGGCCGCTGCGGACCCGGCTGCCCTAGCGGGACTGAAGCGGAGGCGTCGCCATGAATCTCATGGGCATGGGGCTCATGGAGCTGGCGGTAGTGCTGCTGGTGGCCTTCCTGGTTCTGGGGCCGGCCCGCTCCATTGATACGGCGCGCCGGACTGGCAAGGTGCTTGGGGACTTGCGCCGCACTTTCAGCGAAGTCACCGAGGCGATATCTGCCGAGGAGCGTCAGCGGTCCCACTCGCAACAGCCGCCGCCAGGCGTGCCTTCCCGCCCTGACATCCCTGACGATGAGTCGACTTCGCCCGAGGACAACGCGCCTGCTAGCAATGCAGCCCCCTCCAGCCGGGAGGAGAACGACCGAAGCTGATGGCCCGCGAACTCAGCTTCATGGAGCATCTCGGCGAACTGCGACGGCGGGTGCTGATCTGCGCCTTGGCGATAATAGTCGGTACTGGCGTTTCCTTCGCGTTCTTCGAAGAGATTATCGGGTTTCTTGTGCGTCCGTCGGGCTTGGAAACGGGCCCGGGCGGCCAACTGGTAATCACCGAAGTAACCGAGTTTTTGACCACTGCCTTCAAGGTTTCAGTCTTATCCGGCTTCGTGCTGGCGCTGCCCATAGTAATCTACCAAGTCATAATGTTTGTTGCCCCGGGACTTACGCCGCGGGAGCGCCGGGTGCTATTCGGGTTCCTGCCGTTGGCGCTGCTTGCATTCGTCGCCGGGATGGCATTCGCGTATTTCGTGCTGACGCCCCCGGCCCTTCACTTCCTGCTGAACTTTGGCCAAGAAGTGGTGACACCCCTAATCAGGGTGAGCAACATCGTTAACCTGATGGTGCGGCTGCTCTTCTGGATGGGCGTGTCCTTCGAGACACCACTCATCATGTTTCTGCTGGCCCAACTGGGCATCGTGTCGTCGCGGCGCCTGTCGCGGTTCCGCAAAGTCTGGGTGGTGCTGGCTTTCATACTGGGGGCGTTTATCACGCCAACTTTCGACCCGATAAATCAGACCTTGGTCGCCGTGCCCCTGCTGGCCCTCTACGAGTTCGGAGTGGTGCTGGCCCGCCTGGCCGAGCGCGGCAGGCGCAAGGCGGAGACTGCCATAGTGCAACAGTAAGGAACTACCCCAGAACTTGGTTCAGTATCCGAACCGTCATGCGGGGGCAAAGCCTGCCCTGGACCTGATCGTGAGGGCGAGAATCCTGGGGCTGAGGCCGCCATTCAGCCGCTGCCACGAAGGTCGCGACCGTGTTTGGGTAGATTCCAAGTCGAGGTATGCGAAGGCAAAAATAAAAGGACCGGCAAAACCGGTCCTTTTATCGATTGATCTCGACTGCCCGAGGATTAGTAGGGGCTGGACTCGTCGCCGCTCTTGGCAACAGGCGGGTCCTGGCGTGGTTTCTCGTCATCGCCAAGCAGCGCGGACTTAAACGTGCGAATGCCCTTGCCCATGGAACTGCCAATCTCCGGCATTCTCCGCCACCCGAAGACCAACAATATCAGGCCAAGAATGATGATAATTTCGAGAGGGCCGATGCCTCGCAGGAATCCCATTTGTGTCCTCGCGCATACAGAGTGCGACGTGCAGCAAGGTCATGCTAACAGAAACGCCCCCGCCGAACAAATTGGCAGCCCGTACGAAAGCGGGACGATAGCGGCGGAGCTTGCCGGCGCCGACCGACGTCACACTATTGTTACCTTATTATATTGTGCCTCCCGCTGGCCCACGTCTATAATTCGGCTTTGAATTGGTATTGCAGGGCGCGCGGGACGTGTGCTGTGGTTTCCGGGGGTGGGATGGAATCTAGCTATGACATGGTGGTAATCGGCTCCGGCCCCGGCGGGTATGTAGCCGCGATTCGGGCCGGGCAGCTTGGGATGAAGGCCGCCGTGGTGGAGAGGGAGGCCCTGGGAGGTACATGCCTCAACTGGGGCTGCATACCAACCAAGGCGCTGCTCAAGAATGCGGAGATCGTTTCCTACGTCCGCCGGTCGGAGGAATTCGGCCTGAAGTTTGACGGCTTCCACGCCGACTATTCAGTGGCGATGGCCCGCAGCCGGCGCGTGGTTGACCGCAACACCCGCGGCGTTCGCTTCCTCCTTAGAAAGAACAACGTTGACCACATTGTAGGTACGGGCAGGCTGGCCGGGCCAAACCGGGTGGCCATTGATCCCGAGGGTACGGTCATAGAGGCCAAAAACATCGTCATCGCCACCGGCGCACGCCCCCGTTCCGTTCCATCACTGCCCGTTGACGGGGAACGGATCATTACCAGCCGTGAGTCCATCGTGCTGACCGATCTGCCGTCTTCCATGGTGATCGTGGGCGGCGGGGCCATCGGCGTTGAGTTCGCCTACGTCTACGCCATGTACGGCGTCGAGGTAACCGTCGTCGAGTTGCTGCCCCGGCTGGTTCCCAACGAGGACGAGGACATCAGTGCGCAACTTGAGCGATCGTTCGGCTCCCACGGGATCAAGATCATGACCGGAGCGGCGGTTACCGGTGTACAGACCCGGGCCGATGGCGTAACGGGTCGGTAGAGCAGGGCGGCGCCACCCAGTCGATCGAGGCCGGAATGGTGCTGGTGGCCGTCGGCGTGCAACCAAACATAGAGGAACTGGGCCTGGATGCAGCGGGCGTCGCGGTGGACCGCTCGGGCATAGTGGTCGACGAGTTCCTGGCCACCAATGTACCGGGGGTGTACGCCATCGGGGACGTGACCGGCAAGATGCCGCTGGCCCACGTTGCGTCGGCGCAGGCGGTGACCGCGGTTGAGCACATCATGGGAATGGAACCACAGCCCATGGACTACGTGAACATGCCGAGGACCACCTACTGCAATCCGCAGATCGCCAGCTTCGGCCTGACCGAGGCGCAGGCGCGGGAGCAGGGTTACGAGGTTAACGTCGGCGTGTTCAACGCCCTGGCCAACGGCAAGGCCCTGGCGATGGGCGAGACCGAGGGGATGGTCAAGCTGGTGGTGGATGCCCGGTACGGCGAACTGCTGGGCGGCCACATGATCGGCCCGGAGGTCACCGAGCTGCTGGGTGAGCTCTCCATGACCCGTATGCTGGAGGGGACGACCCTCGAGCTTGGTTGGACCGTCCATGCCCACCCGTCGCTTTCCGAGATGCTGAAGGAGGCGGCTCTTTCTGCACAGGGAAGGGCGGTGCACATGTAATGTCACGTTCCTGTGCAGGTGGTGGAATTGTTGCGCAAAGATTCCGTTCGGTTCGGCATTTGTTTTTACGCATATCGTTAATTTGTTTGTCTGGGGAAGTTAGCGGGGGTATACTGAGGCCGCAAAGAATGTCCCGACTCAGAGTATTTGATGCATCCAGATAACCGCGCCCGCCGTCGCGATTCGGCGGGGCGTGATTGTAGGAGCGTATAGATGGCACTGGGCACGTACGATTTCGCAATGGGCATCGGAGGGGAGGCAGGTCAGGGAATTGCCACGCCGGGCGACATCTTCGCTCGCATCATTGTCCGTCGCGGGCTGCACCTCAGTACCTACAACGCCTACCAGTCCATCATCCGGGGCGGGCATATCTTTCTGACGCTCCGTATCTGTGACGAAGAGATCTTCACCCACGGTGACAAGCTGGATCTCCTGCTGTGCCTGAACCAGGACACGATGGACCGCCACCAGCGGCTGATCGGCCCGGGGGGTCGTGTGCTCTACAACAGCGACAGCATCACTCCCGGCGAGTCCAACGGGGCCGACCTCTGTGGCATTCCCGTAGGGGAACTCACCCAGAGCCGCAACCGCCTCATCCAGAATACCGTGGCCATGGGCGCGGTTACCTGTCTGATGGGCGTAGATTTCCAGGTGCTTCAGGAAAGCCTCGAGCTTCGCTTCTCCCGACAGGGCCAGCAGGTCGTAGACCAGAACGTGGAAGTGGCAAAGGCAGGGTTCGACTACGCCCAGTCCAACTTCCGCACCTTCGCACAGCCTCTACCAGATGGCGGCAAGCCGCTGGCAGTGTGGTCGGGCAACGACGCGATCGCGATGGGTGGCGCTGCGGCCGGCGTGAAGTTCTACGCGGCATACCCGATGAGCCCCGCCTCCGGCATCCTCCACTGGATGGCCTCCAACGCCCGCAACCTGGGCATCATGGTGCGGCAGGTTGAGGACGAGATCGGCGTTTCAAACATGGTTATCGGAGCGGCCCACACCGGTGTCCGCTCCATGTGCGCTACCTCCGGCGGCGGTTTTGCCCTGATGACCGAGGCTGTCGGCGCGGCAAGCATGATGGAGATTCCTGCCGTCTATATCGATGTGCAGCGTGCCGGCCCGTCCACGGGCGTGCCGACCAAGACCGAGCAGGGAGACTTGTGGCAGGTCCTCGGCGCCAGCCAGGGCGACTATGAGCGCTTGATTGCTGCCCCGTACAATGCGCTGGACGCCTTCGACACGATGCCTGAACTGTTCAACCTTACCGACAGGCTTCAGTGCCCTGGCATACTGATTTCCGACCTGCTCATTTCCGAAGGTCGATACAGCGTTGACCCAGACAGCATTAATATGCATCCGGTCATCGACCGTGGCCAGATGATCTCGGAACCCGTGTCGCCAAACGGTTACAAGCGCTATGAGAATACGGACAGCGGTATCTCTCCCCGAGCCGTTCCGGGCTTGGAGGGATATGTTCACGTGGTGGCCACCGACGAGCACGACGAGGACTCGACCCTGATCAGCGACGAGTTCACCAACCCTCACAAGCGGCGCATGATGGTGGAAAAGCGCGGCCGCAAGATGCAGGGCGCCTTGGCCATGATTGCCCCGCCGGAGTTGGATGGCCCCGCCGATGCGGAGGTCACCCTGGTGGGCTGGGGCTCCACCCAGGGAGCAATCGAGGAGGCAAGGGGGCAGTTGGCAGAGCGGGGAGTAACCGCCAACCAGTTGTCCATTAAGTGGATCGTGCCTTTCCACGCCGACCACATTCTGCAGATCCTGAGCAGTGCGAAGAAGGTCATCATCGTGGAGAACAGCTACTCCGGGCAGTTCGCGCGGTACCTGCGCAGCGAGACCGGATTCGCCGCCCACGGGCACATCCGCAAATACGACGGCGAGCCGTTCATGCCCCACCACATTGCCGATGGCGTGATGGAGCAGGTGGCGGAGAAAGTCAGCAGCTATGTCCCATACCAGGAAGTGATGGTATAGGGCGGACCGACATTCAGGATAATCATCCGGAAGACTCCCTTTTCGGACGGCGGCAGGGGCCGCAAGTCTTGGCGAAAGAGGTGTATTGATGGCAACCGTAGGTGTGGGTAACGGCAGGACCGAAATCCAGCTGACGGCCAGGGACTTCAAAGGACAGGTCGATCCCGACTGGTGTCCCGGCTGTGGCGACTTTGGCGTACTCAATGCCCTCCAGCGCAGTTGCGCCGAGATGGGTCTGCAGCCCCACGAGATTCTGACGGTCAGCGGTATCGGCTGCTCGTCAAACCTGCCGGGCTACTTCAACTCCTACGGGATGCACACCTTGCACGGGCGCTCCCTGGCTGTGGCCACTGGGGCGAAGCTGGCCAACCACGAGCTCACTGTGTTCGTCACCGGCGGCGACGGCGATGGGTATGGCATCGGCGGCAACCACTTCACTCACTCGGCCCGCCGCAACATCGATCTGACCTACATTGTAATGAACAACCAGATCTACGGCCTCACCACCGGCCAGGTCTCGCCGACCAGCACCTACGGCATGAACACCAAGAGCACGCCCTTCGGCAGCGTGGAGGCCCCAATCAACCCCATCACCCAGGCCATCATGAACGGCGCAACCTTCGTCGCCCGCGGCTACAGCGGTGATGTCAGGCACCTGACCGACCTGATCAAGAAGGCCACGGAGCACAAAGGCTTCGCCCTTATCGACGTTTTCAGCCCCTGCGTAACCTTCAACCGCGACAACACCCACCAGTTTTTCAAGGACCGCATCGTAAAGCTGGAAGACGAAGAACATGATCCCTCCGACTGGAAGACCGCCTGCGAGAAGGCCTTGCAGTGGGGCGATTCGATCTACACCGGCCTCTTCTTCCAGAAGGAGTCGGTCTCCCTGATCGATGCCGAGCCCGTGCTGTCCAAGGAGGGCCCCTTGGCAAGCGTCCCCTGGGTCTGTCGAGGAACAGGCGGATCGCATCATCCAGCGGATGATGTAACAGCGGCCGGAAGTTCGTTTAAGATCTGGGAGCGTCATCAAGACGCTCCCTTTTCGTTGCGTTGGGTGCGAACGGGTTCGCGGTTGCCCCTGAGTTCCCCTTCCTTTAATATCTAGCCGAGATTCCGGGTTGAATTACGATTGACTGAACGGTCCGCCGTGAACGTCAGGAGGCAGCGTTGGCCACATCCATAGTGATGCCGCAGTTGGGATACGACATGCGCGAAGGCACCGTCGTACGCTGGATCAAGCAGGAAGGCGATGAGGTGGTGGCCAACGAGGTCATTGCCGAAATCGAGACCGACAAGGCAGTGGTCGAGTTCAAGCCCACGACGGGCGGGGTGCTGCGCCGCATAGTCGCCAGCGAGGGCGAGGCAGTTCCCGTCGGCCAACTCATCGCCGTGATCGGCGACGCCGACGAGACCCTGCCCGACGAACTCGGCGCTCCCACCGCTGCAGCCCCAGCTCCCGCCGCCGCACCTGAACCTGCGCCTGCACCCGCCGCGGCCCCCGCGACAGCACCGGCTGCGGCCCCCGACGGCGAAGTGCGCGCCTCCCCCATCGCCCGTCGCCTGGCCCGCGAGCGTGGCGTCGACCTTGCGACGGTCACAGGCACCGGACCCGGAGGGCGTGTCGTCGAGGCCGACGTGCTGGCGGCCGCCGACAATGTCCGCGCCGCCGCCGATGCAGGCAGGGTGATGGCCTCCCCGCTGGCCCGTCGCCTGGCTCGCGAGCAGGGCATCGATCTGGCAACGCTGACAGGCACCGGACCCGGCGGACGCGTCGTCGAAGCTGACATAAACGCAGCCGCCGCGGCCTTGTCCGCCGCTGCCCCAGAGCCGGCCACCGCCGCCGAGCCCGCGTCGGAGGGCGCGGAACGCGCCGATCTGTCGCGCATGCGCCAGGCAATCGCCCGCGTCACCTCCGACAGCAAGCGCGAGGCGCCGCATTTCTACGTGGCCGTCGACATCGACATGACCGCGGCAATGGGCCTGCGACGCGACATAAACGACGAGCTCCCCTCGTCCAGCCGGGTCAGCGTCAACGACCTGATCGTCAGGGCATCGACCTTGGCCATCGGAAAGCACCCCAAGTTCAACTCATTCTTCCGCGGCGACCACCTGCAGATGAACCCGTCCATCAACGTCGGCATCGCCATCGCGCTGGAATCAGGGCTGATTGTCCCTGGCATTCCCCAGTGCGAGGACAAGAGCCTGGCCCAGATTGCCGCGGCCAGCCGCGACCTCATCGACCGAGCCAACAACGGCACGCTGCAGGCCGAGGAGTACGCTGGCACCACCTACAGCGTCAGCAACCTGGGTATGTTCGACGTCGACAGCTTCACCGCCATCATTTTCCCGCCCCACGCCGCTATCCTGGCCGTGGGTGCGGTCAAAGAGCAGCCGGTGGCTCGCGACGGCCAGCTCGCCATCGCCGAGATCATGAAGTCCACGCTGTCCGTGGACCACCGCGTCGCAGACGGCGCCGAGGCCGCCCAGTTCCTGATGGAAATCAAGCGCCTGCTGGAAAAGCCGGTCAGCCTGCTGCTCTAGCGGCGCCCCACCTTGCCAATAGCATAGGTTCTTAAGGAGAAAAGACGTGCCCAACTTGACCGGAGGCCAGGCCATCACCGAGTCCCTGAAGGCCCAGGGCGTTGACACCGTATTCGGCATCATCAGCATACATAATCTCGACCTGTTCGACGCCCTGTATGACCAGCAGGACAGCCTCCGGTTCATTGGCGGGCGCCTGGAGCTGGGCGTCGGATTCATGGCCGACGGCTACGCCCGCGCCACCGGCAAGCCCGGTGTGCTCATCACCAGCACCGGCCCCGGCGCCGCCGACTCCATCGGAGCCATGGGTGAGGCCTACTTCTCCGGTTCTCCCCTGCTGCAGGTGACCACCAACGTCGAGAGCGAATTCCTCGGGCAGGGCCGCAACGCCACCCACGAGACCAAGGACCAGCTGCGCATGTTCGAGGCCGTCACCGACTGGAACGCCATGATCGGCGAGATCGAGTCCATCCCCGACAACCTGATGGAGGCTTTCCACCGTTTCCAGAACCGTCGCCCCCGTCCCATCGAGCTGGAGCTCCCCACCGACCTGCTGGGCACCGCGCCGACGTGGAGATCCTCGGTCCCCGCGACGCCGGCATACCGCAGGGCGATCCGGCTAGGGTGGAGCAAGCCCTGCAACTGCTGCTCAAGGCCAGGCGTCCGGCCATCGTGGTTGGCGAGGAAGTGCAGATGCTCGGCGGCACCAGCGAGATCGTGCGGCTCGCGGAAGCCCTGGGAGCGCCCGTGGTGACGTCGGACGGCGCTAAGGGTGCGTTCCCCGAGGACCATCCGCTGTCGCTGGGGCAGATGCTCGGCCGCCGCATCTGGGGCGAAAACCCCGTGCAGGAATGGCTGTCCACCTGCGACGCGGTTGTCATCCTCGGCTCGATAATGCCCCATCGCTCCACCACCGGAGTCCAGCTCAAGCTGCCGGAGACCGTGGTCCACGTGCTGCTGGACGGCGACTCCATCGGCAAGAACTACGACGCCACCGTTCCCATCGTGGCCAACTCCCAGGCTGTGGCGCAGCAGTGGCTCGACGCTATAGGCGGCAGCGACGTGAGCAAGGGCCAGTCGTACGCCGACGAGATCGCGTCAGTCAAGAAGGACATTCACAGCAACCTGCAGGAGACCTGGGGCAACGAGCTTCGTGCGTTCGAAGCAGTGCGGGAGGCCACGCCGCGCGACACCATCTTTTCTCTGGACCCCACGGTGCCCGCCAGTAGGGCGGCCCGGTGCCTGCCCATCTACGGTCCGCGACAGTACATGCATCCCCACGGCTGGGCCGGACTTGGGTTCTCGTTCCCTGCGGGCCTCGGCGCCAAGGTCGGCAAGCCCGACAGCCCGGTGGTCTGCATAACCGGCGACGGCGGGTTCCAGTACAACTTCCAGGAGCTGGCCACCGCTGCCCAGTACAACATCCACCCGGTCATCCTGATGTTCAACGACAACGCCTGGGGCGTCCTGAAGAAGTACCAGAAGGACCGCTTCGGCGACCGGCAGTTCGCCACCGACCTCGTCAACCCCGACTTCGGAAAGCTCTTCGACTCCTACGGATTCGGCGCCACGCGCGTCTCCACCGTAGCCGAACTGGGCCCCGCCCTCGACTCCGCCATATCCTCCGGCAAGACCCACCTCGTCGAGGTCGCCATACCCGATGGATTCGGCGCCTTGGTGTAGCCCGACGCCGCTTGACCACGTGCACGATTCGGGGCGGGAAACATTCCCGCCCTTTTCATTCGGCTGCACCTCTGCCCCCCAAAACCCCCGCCGCCCCTGTACCGTCATTCTCGCGAAAGCGGGAATCCAAACCCCCGTCACTAAGTGCATCAAAAACGGAAGTCGGGGCCCTGCCTGTACCCCCCCACAAATGAAACAGAATGAGACAAAAAGAGACACTTAAAAAACTTTGGTGGGTGAGGCTTTGTACGAAAAACCAAATTAGGCCATAAATGAAATCACACCTGTACGAAAATGGGCCAGCACTACACCGGTCAGGCAGCCTTCTTCAGGCATTTGGCCTTTCGCATCTCCAACGACTCCTTGATGCAATCCTCAAGTGCCAGCGCCTCTGAGGGCAAGTCAAGGTGAACCTCCCTCATCCTCACCTCTCGGGCGAGAACTATGAGGTTGTATGCAATGACCTTGCAAAGAGCCTCGTTCACCTGGGTGTAGAATTGTTTCGTGCGAAGAGCCTCGGGAATGAGTCTCTTTAAGGCGGCGAAGGCAGATTCAACATTGCTCCGCTGATGGTATTTAAGCCAAAACTCCTCCTGGGAATTTACGAAGTATTCATAGTCCACCGACCAACCGGAGCCATCCTTGGCAGGCATTCGGGTATTCGTCTTGTATGGAATGAGAGGTTCGAACCCAAGCTTTTTGGCCAACTCGTGATTGTCCCAACTGGAATAGGCCAAGTCAGCGGAGACTTTCTCGACTCTGAACCGAGCGGCTGTCTCAGACACCAAGCCCTTGAAGAACGGATTATCGTGCGCGTTACCGGGTGAGATTGCAACACGAGCAAAGGCATTAGTCATGTTGCCGGCCACAGCATGCAACTTGACCCAACCCTTACGATCGCCCCCAGCATGTTCTCCATCATCAACATTGAAACCTAACCGGAAGTCAATCCAACGGTCGTAGAGCCTCGTACCCAAGCCGGTTCCGTCTACAGAGAATTCAGTCTCCACAACCCGAAGGGACCCGAAAAAGAAAACTAAAAGAATATATAAAGACAAGAATCAAAAGGCATGCAAGCAAACTCATAAAGGGCAGAGTAGCAAAAAAAACAAGAACAATACAATAAAAACAATAACAAAAAAAAAACAAAGTGACCAAAAAAAAAAAAAAGAAAAAAGGGAAATAAATATTATAAAAAGTAAGTGAAAAAAAAAAAATAAAAAACTAAATACAACCTAAAAAAAAAAAAAAAGAAAAATAATAAGATAAAGAAAAAAGACAATAAAACTAATACAACAAAAAAAACAAAACAAAAAAGATACAAATAACAAAAACAGATAAAAATAAACGAATAAAAAAAGCAAAATGAAACAAGATAAAAAAAAAACATAAATTAACAAAAAAAAAAAAACAAGAAAAAAAACAAATAGATAAAATACGAAAGTACAAAATTAAATAAGACGTAAAAAACAAACCATCAAAAAAAAAAAGTGTAAAAAACACAAAAAAAATAAACAATAAAAAGCAAATAAAAAAAAAGAGACCAAAGGGGAAACCCAAAACAAACAAAGAAAAGTAAACAATTCTCAAGGCCAAATCAAAAAGGAAGATAAACCAACTCTCTTAAAAAAAGAAGTAAATTGCGAAGAAAAAGGGGACAAAGAACCAAAAAAAAACAACAAAAAGCTCTAACCATCTATATCCTATAGCAGGAAACAAAAAAAGAAGTAAAAAAAAACAAAAAGGAAAAAAAGACTAAATGGAGACAACAAAAAAAAAAAATAAACTAAACAAAAAAACAAAATAAAAAAAGAAGTAAAAAAATAAGACAACAAGAGGGAAAGAATTAAATATGCAAATAATACTCAAACAGAAAATCAGAGGAACCAAAAAAAAAAATATTAACAACTTAAATGACAAACTAAATTAAAACTCGGTGAAAAAAAACCTGATAATTTAAAAAAAAAACAATAATAAAAGTAAAAAAGGGAAACAAAAGGATAAGAGGTCAGAGAAAGAAAAAAAAGAAAAAAAAATAAAGCATAAAAAACAAAAAAAAAAAATAAAAAAGAAAAAAAAAAGAAAAAAAAAATAATAAGGAAGGAAAAAAAAAAAAAAACAAAAAAAAAAAAACACCCGAGAACAAAAAAAAAAAAAATGACAAAAGCAGAAGTAAAAAAAAAAAGAAAAAATAAAGAAGAGGTCGAAGAGGAAAAAACAAATGGAAAAAAAATGAATAATAAAAAACAAAAAGTAAAAAAAAATAAAAAAAAAAAACAAAAAAAAATGAAATAAAATTAAATGATGAAAAATGTAAAATGAAAAAAATAAAAAAAAAAAAAAAAAAAAAAAAAAAAAAAAACCAAACAAATGACGAGACGAGTTCCAGCAATACGGGAGTAAGCCACTCCTGCCGAAAGAAGTCTCCCAGAGTGGTGAACCCGCCGATCCAACCCTTCGAGGGAAGGGGGCGAGAAGGCACATCCCTGAGGTAACCCAACTCCACGCTCTCATTCAAATGTGGTAGGAAGCGACGGAGCGAGAAACCCGAATAGACCTTCAGCACGGCACCAAATATGACAGGCCCCAAGGGAGTCGCCGGCCGGCCTGCCGACCGGTCCAGCATGATGTCCTCCATGATGCTAATGAGGTCAGCGAAACCACCCAGCAGGGCCTTGACGTCCGGTATTTCGTGAGTCTGGGCATCGTTGTATGCCGACCAGTCACGCGCGTAACGGACCCGGGGAGAATCTCCGTCACCAGCCACATTGGATGACTCTATTCGGAGAACGGAACTCCCCTTGGATTCCCTGGACAGGAGTTGGGATTCCCTGGACAGGAGTTGGCAGGAGTTGGCAGGAGCTGGAGATTCGAGACACCTTGGAGGGATCCATATGTTCCAGATAGCGAGGTGGAAGATTGCTGTCCCAGCCCAACCGCTTTAGCTCTGCACCGAAGATGGAGGAAGCCAGTTCAGAAGCACCCGAACCGCCGACTGCGCCACTGCGGATACCATTCAGCACCCTTTCCAGATCATCAGAAGAGAGAAGGCAAGCCTGGAAGAGAGGCCAGTTCCGAACGACGAGAGCGACAGCAGTATTACTGAAGACGCTGTAACTGGGGACGTCGCGCTCATCAACGTACCCGCACTGCCGACGGTACTTCTGATCTGCCTTCAGAAGATTGTATACACTGCGGACATTCCCCAGGTTCCGACTTCCGAGGTGCAGTGGGCACGGAGCGAACAGACGATATCGGGAGCCGATCTGTGGCTTGCTGGCTGCCACCCAGTGGATGATCCCTCCTGGGTTTCACCCGCGCAGGCCAGAGGAAATTCACCAGATCCAAGACCCTGATGGGATTGTAGTTCATATCCAGCAGACGCCCAGTGAAAGGGCTGGGCAGCGCTAGACTGGGCCCATCGGACGTCGCCAGAAGCGACAGAACCTGGACTCGTCACCACAGGAGGTCTGGAGACCAGCCAGTTGCTGTGTGCGAGTGCACGGATTCTGATAATGTTGAGTACCCACCTTGTCATCTCCTAGTTCGGGTGGTCCGTGCGTTCCGGGCCGTTAGAGGTGCGAACTCCAGCGGCCCTTTTTCATGCACGAATTTTATCGAACATACGCTCCGGATTTTACCATTTTCTTACGTGAGTGCCCATTGAAAAGGCCTCCAGACCCACAGATCCCTTCGAGAAACCGGATACCATTTCGACCTCCTGCGAATACCCGCAAATAACAAAAGCCCCGGATCGGGGCAGAACTTCCACCATTGGCGGAAAGGCTGCTCCGACCCGGGGCGCGATTTGTACTCTAGCGACGCCCGGGACCAGTGGTCTAGCAGGTTTCCTTCATAAAAAGGCCTCTACCTACTCGTGTGACGATCTCAAAGAATTGACAGCCAGTCAAGAATTGCAAAACTGGAGCATGGCTGTAAAAGTCAAGAATCCCCGATTCAAGATAGGAATGCCTCTACACAGGCTAATGGTTTATGCGGAAACAGAATTATTCCAGCAAAATTATGTGTATACAAAATCGATTTTGGACGAAGAAAGAAAAACCAGAAAGTAGGCTTACTACACCAAGTCGGAGTATGAACGCTCTATCATCAGCCGCGCTTTTGCCGGGTTTTCTTCGCTTCCAACGGACACGAGTCCCTCTGGGCAATTCAATGCAGCCCATAAACTCCGCAAGGACGACTAGGACACACACATGCCGAGGGTAGCGACTCTTCCCGCCAGTGACAAAAACACCGCCTCTCTCTCGAGATCGGACACTGCTCACGAAAGTCCGGCCCCAGGAGAGAACACCATGGGA